GAAAATTGGTGGTGGTGGTATATTTGAAAGGCTTTTTAATCCAGGAGATTTAGCCAGTTTTTCTTACCTCTAGAAGGACCAGAAGCCTGTGGTTTATTCTTATCATAAAACCATGCCTTCATCTTGTTCAGATCACACCATGGTTCCGACTCTGGGTCCCTTGGGTGGCAGCAGACTTTTCTTCTCAGCAGTGCCTTGAGCACAGGTGAGGAGAAGTCAGGCCAACAGACCTCTGCTGGGATTCTGGTTCTTCCAGCAGATCCAAATGGAGAGCGGTAAGGCTTCTGTTCTGGGAGCAGAGGGGCCTAGGTTCCTCAGGATGTGTCCGACACCACCCCCCCGCCCCCAGCTTGTTGTCAGCGTGCAGGCTGGGGGTTAGGCTGGGTTCGTGGTTTGTCCACTAAGCCCCAAAACCCAGGCACCAGAGCAGCTGCACATCTAGCTGTTACGCTCGGCATCTCTAGAAGGTTCTCTTTTGCTACCCCTCACCTTTCCTCTCACTTCCTTCATCCTGAGTCATCACTACAATCAGGGGAGAAAGACATAGGACAATTCACCCCTTTCCAGAAGCAGCCCCCAGCCAGGGCTACAGCAGGGCCAGGCAGGGGCTTGCAGCTTGCACAGAGGAAGAAAGCCTCACCCGCACACACGCATGCATGCAGGGCAAACACACGTATTGTGTCTGCCTTCAGGCCTGTGTGCAAACACGATTTGCATACCCCAACTTGTTTATGAGAGCTGAGCATAATGGACTTGCCTCCCTCAACACCTCGGCACCGCATCCCCCCGCCCCCCCAACCCTGACACACCTCAGAAGAAATTAGAAACGTGACAGCAAACTCCATTGTTGGAAACCCCAAACCCGCCACCAATCATGGGCTCCCAGCATGGCGGAGGGGGTGGGGCTGCAAGGTGGGGGAGTAATTGGTGAACCCGAGGTGAATGAAATAATTGGAAAAGTGAGGTGTGAGTTTGTTACCAAAGTGTGAGCATGGTGGGGGAGGGAAGGAGGGCCATGTTTAAAAGCCGGGTATGTCCTCTTTATTCACAGCTTCTGATACAGTAATTGCTATTTTGTGGTTTCTATTATCTACACAGTGGGGAGCACGTGCATCTCCTTCCCCAAGCGGCAGGGTCTGGGCTTGGGGAGGAGTTCCTGGGTGCCCTCTGATTTTCCTCCCTCTCTGGCCCTTGGTGGCCCTGCCCAGCGTCACCCCAACAGTGGCCCAAGCTCCCAGGAGATGAGGGTTCACGCAGAACTCCCTTCCAAAGCCACTCTTAAAAATGGGTCTGTAGACGTTGCCATCAGATAAGAACCTTAATAATGGCTGGTATTTATATATCGCTTATCTCCAAGGAGCTAAAGGTACTTCATCGATTTTTTTCTCCCCCAACCTTTTTTTTTCCTTTTTAATTCTCTTTTAGTATCTCTCTGAGATCATTAGTATTGGCCTTCTATGATCCCCCAGTTATACAAGCAGCAGGAGCCATTCACCGGCCCATCATTGTTCTTGGCTGGGAGAAGCAGCTGGTATGAGAAGGAGCTTGCCTAGGTTTTGAGTCCCAAGGCTGTGGGAGGTGCGCAAGTCACTTCTCTCTGGTCCTTGGTTTTCTCATCTGTAAAACAGGCAGTAATGCTGTTGTCTCCCAGCTGTTGTTACACCTGGAAATGATGTATTGAAAAGAGCTAGCACTTTGCAGGCACTCACTGGTAGCTGTGGTGACAGCATCAATGATGGTGTCTTGAAGCCTCAGCCATTCATTTCAGGAAGTGTCCACAGACCTTGAGAAGTCCCTTCTAAGATCTAACCCTAATTCTCCAGCTCCTCCATAAGCCCCGGCTCTCTCTTGTCCTGTTCCTAGAAGGAAAAAAGAAACTTGCTCACTGTGACCATTCTCCTGACTCCCTGGAGAATAATGGGAGTTTTGATGCTGCTAGGGTCTTGGGCACAGCATTTCATTTGTCACACAGATGTCTGTCTGGAAAGCCCAGATCAGGACTGTGACTTCCCCAAGGCCCCTAGCTGCCTAGGACAGGATCCCCAGCTCCCAGATACCTGCCCACGTCCATGGTGGATCCAGGGTGCTCCTCTGTCACAGCTCCCCGTGCTGAGCTCTCAAATGCCACTTCTGCAGGCCACATAGGCATGGCTCCTTCAGCCTCTCCTCACCAGCTTTTTTCTCTGCCTTCTAATTATTTTCCTTGCCTTTCTCCGGACCCGTAGCTGCTTACCATGCACAGAGCATCCACAGCTTGCAATGTGCTGCAGAGAGGAAGGAATTAACCTCCACAGTCTCTCTCTCTCACTCCCCGCCCCCCCCACACCCTTTCATGTGTGTGCGCACACACACACACACACACACACACACACACACACAGAGCGTGGCTCACCAGAAACTAGACAGGGCTAAGAAATCTGGGCAGAGGTCGTTGAGACCATCAAGGACAGGAGATTGTAGCCTTTGTAGGCAGAAGTCGGGGGGTTGCACAGTGTGGGTAGAAAGAACCAGGACTCAGTCTACCTCCCTTGGCCTGAAGTCTTTTTAAGTCACTTGACCCCTGGGAGTCCACACAGGGCTTTCCTAACCACCCCCACACGTGGGCTTCTTGCTTCACCCTAGACCTGGCCAAGCCTCAAGAAGAAAGAGGCCACAGGTCCTGAAAGTGGCCAGTCTCCATCCAGATGATTGAAGGGGGTTGATACATTGTGCGGCAGAAAGAGAAAGATCAGGCTTAACATCAGACATGCCTGGATTCACATTCTAAACCTACCACTTACAGCAAGATCCACTTCCTCCCTGAGCCTCAGTTTCTTCATCTATAAAATGGAGATGATAAGACTAATGGTAACATTTTTGCTATTTGTATTCACCCCGTGGCCGATTTCATTGCATCCTCATCACTTCCCTCGGAGGGTAGGTGTAATTTACCAGTGGTAATGTCCACCTTCCAGGGCTACTGTCTGCTTTTGTTTCATTCCAAAAATGTCTGCAGGCATCCACTCTGAACCAGGAACTGGGCTTATTGCTGCAGATCTAGTGATGAGCAGGACAGGTGTGGTTTCTACTGTTGCAGGAAGGCAGAGAGGTAAACAGGCGTTCACCCATGGTGCCCCAGTTGGGGCACACAGTGAGCTATGACATTGCTGGTGCTGGCATCCAACCCAGCTATGGGGACATGGGGAAAGGCTGCTCGGAACTAGTGCAGTTAAGCCAAGACCTGATGGAACCTGGAAGCCAGGGCAGGGATGGAGCCAGGTGGAGGAACCAGCATGACCACAGGCTGTCTGTGACCATGCAGACACAGCACCCGGCATGGGCCTCCCTATGCCCTCAGCCTTCTCATCCAGGTCTGAGTGCTCTCAAACTCTGGTCCTCAAGGCCATCAAATGCCATCCCCATAGTCCCAATCAATGGCTCTCTGAAGAACTTGGAGCCAAAGAACCATTTATCTAAATGAGCCTACAAGAAAATTTGTCCATCCCCTGCCCTCAACAGGGGCAGGGGGGCTTTGATGCAGAGAAGGAAGGCAGCATGTCTGTCGTGGGATGCATTGGCCTTTAGATGGCAGAAGAAAGCCGGGTTTGCAGGCTTGACTCCTCTCAGCTTGCTCAACTCACCTTCCTGTCCCCACCTGCCCAGCCTCTGGTCCCCAAGTCTGTCCCATTCTGAATCTGCCACGAGTCTCCTCACAGCAGGGAAGACTGCCAGGGATCCATTCCCCATGTCCTCCTCCCTTCCCCTCCCTAGGAGGCTGTCCTTGTCACCAGCTTCAGTTCCTTGTCGCCTGCACAGAGGAGGCTCCTGATGGGGAGTGTGGAGCTGCTGGAGAGCGCTTGGAGGAGGCGTGCAGACTCATTTTGAAGATTCATAATGCCACATTTACACACTGTCCTGCCTTCGGAAATTGGGCTGGCAGATGCCTGGTCATGCTGGCAGGGCCGTGGGTTAACGCCTCGGATTTAGCTTATATCATTTCACGAGAGCTTACAGCCTTTACTGTGTTTTTCACCCAATCGGTCTTTGGCCCTGAAGCATCCTAGACTGTTATGTGTATGTGTGTGTGTCCAGGTGGCCGCAAGTATGTGTAGATTTTCAAATAAAATAATACCTCTCTTCAGATGCCGTGCACATTAAATATTTATCGGCAGCAATTTGTGTGTATATATTTGATAAATGGACATGAGGAAGGGATCGGGGGGGTGGGGAATGAGACAGGAAGGCAAGAGAAGACCTGAGAAATCCTGATCCTTTTGTCGTAGAATTTCTCCCAGTTTAAGCCAAGAGGAGAGGAGAGGAGGGGACGGGGGGATGGCCCGAGGCTATGTTTGCCTGTTTGATCCCTGTCAGGAGGAGCAAGCCATTTTCTTCTCCAGAGCTTTGGCTGACTTGGGCTTATCAGATATCAGAACACAAGCTTGGCAAGGAGGGAAGTGGGTGTAGAGGGAGTCACATGTGTCATTCAAGCACTGAGCACTGAAGAAACGTCACGGTCTGAGAGAAAGGGCTCTGTCCTGTGTGCTCAACGTGGGGGCGCCGTGTGCCCAGCTCAGACGTGGAGGCCGATTTGAAAGGTCAGGAGACTCTGCTGACGCAGAGTCTGGAATCCCAGCCCCCGCACATGAGCAGCCCCTCACCCTGGCTCGGGCCTCCCCAGCTGGCCATGCGTGTACCAGGCCAAGTCCTCCTGCAAAGAGTTACTCCCACAGGGAGTGGGGGGACAGGGGTGCCAGAGCCTCCAGCTAGTCAGAGAGGAGTCAGAAATTCCCTAGCACCTCCAAACAGACTGTTCCCTCCCTGCCCGGCTCAATGGCTGGGGCCTGGAGGAACACATGCTGGCGGGTGGGGAGCGGACACGAGTGTGCACGTTGTGTGTGTGTGTGTGTATACCTGTGAACACTTCTCTCTGATAACCGGAAGGGATTAGCATGTGAGAATTGGTCCTGCCCCCTTTGTGGGCCTCAGTTCTTAAACACCCTGGTTTTACCTTTTGTCCCTAGCACCTTTGGGGAGCTGAAGACAGTCCGCTTGCCAAAGAAGATGACCGGGCCAGGCACACACAGAGGGTTCGGCTTCGTGGACTTCCTCACCAAGCAGGATGCGAAGGTGAGACCACAGCCCCTTCCCCGCCCACCAGGCCTCTCCTTTCTGGACCCTTTGTAGGAGAAGCAGGGAGGACCTCTTAAATGTGGGGGTGTCACCACCCCGTGCAGTTTTCCTCTTTATTTTCCCTGACCCTGCCAATTTGCACAGCATCCTTGGAGGAAAAGACCCTCCAAGAGTTTTGTGTTTGGAGGACGGAGTTACTGGCCTGTCCCTCATCCCAGCTGCACATGTGTAGGAGCCTGGGACACAAACTGGGAAAGCAGGTGGGTGTCCCAGCCTCTCTCAGTCAGAAAGAAAACGCCTCGGTCTAGGTGGCCCACAGAGTGGGCGGCGTGGGAACTGCTGTGCAGAAAAGCGGGGAGGGGGTCCAGGGCAGACCTCCTGGAAGGGAAGGGAAAGGCAGCCAAAAAGCAGCCGTGGGAAAACGCCTTCCCCTCATCCTTCCCGTTTGTGGCCGGGCTTCCAGTTTGTGCTGGTTCCATGTGAGGGCAGTCCAGGCGGGGTCTGCTGTGTTCCAGCACGTGTACAAAAATTCCTTGGGCTCCTCTGAGAGAGAGAACACCTTTTGTTTTTGAAGCGAGGCAGCTTCTCCCAATCAGCTCGGTGCAGCGCAGCAGGGCTCCGCTCTCGCAGTGGGTGCTGGGTCCTCGCCTGCCCAGCAGCAGATGTGCGGCAGCGGCACCATCATCTGGGCCTCCCTCCACATGCTTTGTGCCCACAGTGCTGTTTTCCCTCTCTTGGCCCCGCCTTTCCAAGGGTAAAATAAAGCCACAGGAGATCTCATTGAAGGCTGGGATCCCCTCTACCTCTGACGAGGCATCTTCAGAAAAGCACAGAGTGTTTCTTGGACCTTTGGCAAGTTGGTGTTGCAAGAGGCCCAACAGGAGAGTCAGCTGCATGGAGCTGAAGGTGGCTGCTCAGGGCCACAGCTGTCGCATTTGTGGGCCCTGGGAACACGTACAGGCAGGGAGGGCACACTGGGACCCTGGAGAGCCTCGCCAGCCATTTTGTCACCGCGTCTTGAACTCACGTGCCTGTATTGTGGACACATGGCCATGTTTGTCCGGACATCTGCTGCTTTCTTCTCTCAGTTGGCAACCTGTCCCTCGCCTGCAGTCAGGGACAGCAGGGACAGTACCCTGCATGCGACAGGCCCACAGCCTTGAGCCTCACAGCAGGGCAGGCATTAGGCCCTGCACTGGCTGGGAGGGATACAGTAGAGGGTGGCTGTTCAGAGCAACAACTCTTACCGATGGCAGCTCAGCCTCCCCTGGCCCTGCCTTGCACCTCAGTTTCTTCATCTGTAAACAGGAATGATAATTGTGCCCACCATCGCGGGGTTAAGGCAGATGATGCAAATGAAACACTGATCCTGGTCCCGGCCTGTAGCGAGCACTTGATACTCACTGACACCAGCCCAGGTCCCTGCAGTTCTGCCATCCCACGATCCGTGGCTCTGTGCACATGTCTGACGCTGTGTCAACAGAGACAAGAGCTGCAGGGCAGTGTTTCTTTCACCGTGTCCCATTGAGCCCCGGGGTTCTGGGGATTGGGCAGTGAGGGTGTAGTCTACCATTATCTGTTCTGGGTTTTTTTTGTTTTTTTTTTTTGACCAGTAAGGGGATCGCAACCTTCGGCACAGTGTGGTCTGCACCACACTCAGCCAGTGAGCACACCGGCCATCCTTCTATAGGATCCGAACCCGCGGCCTCGGCACTACCAGCACCGCACTCTCCCAAGTGAGGCACGGAGCCAGCCCTATTGTTATCTGTTTTATATCAGGTTCCCAGGTGAAGCCGTGACTTGGGTAGACGTGGAACAGGAAACTTACTCCCCACGCCAAAGAAATGTCTCTTGTGAAGGCCAGTGCAAGGGCTACTTGTAAGAGCACAGACTTCAAAGCCAGGCTGCCTGGGTTTGAATGCCAACACTGTCACGTATCTCCTATGTGCTTCATATCCCCCCCTTGTAAAATGCTTGGAGGATTCTCCTCATAGAGTTTTTGGGAGCTTTGGACAGGGTGACATTCTTAGCGCAGGGCATGGCCCCTGTGAGCTGTTTGTCAACTGTGAGGAGGAGGAGGAGGAGGAGGANTCGCAACCTTCGGCACAGTGTGGTCTGCACCACACTCAGCCAGTGAGCACACCGGCCATCCTTCTATAGGATCCGAACCCGCGGCCTCGGCACTACCAGCACCGCACTCTCCCAAGTGAGGCACGGAGCCAGCCCTATTGTTATCTGTTTTATATCAGGTTCCCAGGTGAAGCCGTGACTTGGGTAGACGTGGAACAGGAAACTTACTCCCCACGCCAAAGAAATGTCTCTTGTGAAGGCCAGTGCAAGGGCTACTTGTAAGAGCACAGACTTCAAAGCCAGGCTGCCTGGGTTTGAATGCCAACACTGTCACGTATCTCCTATGTGCTTCATATCCCCCCCTTGTAAAATGCTTGGAGGATTCTCCTCATAGAGTTTTTGGGAGCTTTGGACAGGGTGACATTCTTAGCGCAGGGCATGGCCCCTGTGAGCTGTTTGTCAACTGTGAGGAGGAGGAGGAGGAGGAGGAGGACGGTGGCAGTGGGGTGACAGTGATGGCAGTGATGACAGAGATGGTCTAAAACTAAGATGGGGTGAGGAAGGAGCAGAGGTCAAAGGCCTCAGAGCCCTTTCACCTGGGAACCCTCCATCCCCACAGTGGCCTCTGTCCAGCCTGAGAGGTTGATGTCAGAGTTGACGTGTCACTTGGGGGCCAGAGATCAGACCAGGTATGTGTCCCCAGCCTTGACATTCCAGCAGCCCCTTTGCAACGTCCAGGTCACTGCAGTTTTGCCCTTTGGGTTCATTAGAATAGAAGGGGGACTGTCAGGTAAACATGGGCAAGGCAGTACATGCCGTTGAGGGACGTCACCTAGTGCCGTGTTGGCTCAAGCTTGGCACCTGAGGCCAGGCTGCAGATGTTATTTCCGAAGCCCAGCACAGCCCTCTAGTGATTTGTGGAGGTGGCTGCTCCTCCCCCTTCGTCCCTTCCCTGCTTCCAATCCGGGCTGCAGGAGAAGGGCAGCCGAGGACAGTGAGGGCTCTTCCGCCCCCTCTCCTCCAACAGGCGGCTATTTCTGGCCCTCCCATCCTTGCAGCAGTCTTCCTTGTCACTGCATCAGAGCTCTGGCCCTCTCTGCCCACCCCCAAATGAGCTAGTCTTCCAGAAAGTACGAGCCCACCACGAGCGCATCTCCTGCAAAGATCCCTTTGCTCTTTTTGCTTCCCGGGAAAGCTGCAGAAGCCTTCTTCCTCCTCTCCTCCTGGACCGTCTGAAGAACTTTATTGTCTTCTGAGTGGAACATTTAGCACTCTCCGCTGACCCACAGAAGCGTGCACACTGCATATTGGTGAATAGAATTCTGAATATTGTAAATATCTAGTTAGCTCGAGGGTGGATGTGAGTTTGAAGAGGGAGATCTTTTTGTGTCTAAGCAGATGGAATCAGTGAGACCCCCAAGCTGGTGGAGGAGGCTCCATGACCCTCAGTCTCTAGGGCAAGCTCCCTCTACGCACTCGAGGAGGAGGAGGAGGAGGAGGACGGTGGCAGTGGGGTGACAGTGATGGCAGTGATGACAGAGATGGTCTAAAACTAAGATGGGGTGAGGAAGGAGCAGAGGTCAAAGGCCTCAGAGCCCTTTCACCTGGGAACCCTCCATCCCCACAGTGGCCTCTGTCCAGCCTGAGAGGTTGATGTCAGAGTTGACGTGTCACTTGGGGGCCAGAGATCAGACCAGGTATGTGTCCCCAGCCTTGACATTCCAGCAGCCCCTTTGCAACGTCCAGGTCACTGCAGTTTTGCCCTTTGGGTTCATTAGAATAGAAGGGGGACTGTCAGGTAAACATGGGCAAGGCAGTACATGCCGTTGAGGGACGTCACCTAGTGCCGTGTTGGCTCAAGCTTGGCACCTGAGGCCAGGCTGCAGATGTTATTTCCGAAGCCCAGCACAGCCCTCTAGTGATTTGTGGAGGTGGCTGCTCCTCCCCCTTCGTCCCTTCCCTGCTTCCAATCCGGGCTGCAGGAGAAGGGCAGCCGAGGACAGTGAGGGCTCTTCCGCCCCCTCTCCTCCAACAGGCGGCTATTTCTGGCCCTCCCATCCTTGCAGCAGTCTTCCTTGTCACTGCATCAGAGCTCTGGCCCTCTCTGCCCACCCCCAAATGAGCTAGTCTTCCAGAAAGTACGAGCCCACCACGAGCGCATCTCCTGCAAAGATCCCTTTGCTCTTTTTGCTTCCCGGGAAAGCTGCAGAAGCCTTCTTCCTCCTCTCCTCCTGGACCGTCTGAAGAACTTTATTGTCTTCTGAGTGGAACATTTAGCACTCTCCGCTGACCCACAGAAGCGTGCACACTGCATATTGGTGAATAGAATTCTGAATATTGTAAATATCTAGTTAGCTCGAGGGTGGATGTGAGTTTGAAGAGGGAGATCTTTTTGTGTCTAAGCAGATGGAATCAGTGAGACCCCCAAGCTGGTGGAGGAGGCTCCATGACCCTCAGTCTCTAGGGCAAGCTCCCTCTACGCACTCCTCCCCCTTTCGAAGCTCCTGGGGGAAGGAAACCTCCTTTAGAAACCCTTCCCAGGCTCTAACCCTGACCCACTCAACTCCCTCCCCGAGGGCTTGGGTCCCACCACCTGTCATGTCGACCTCAGAGAAGATAAAGATCTGCCCCCAGCCATCCTCAGATGGGAGGAAAGGAGAAGGGGAGGGAAAAATGGAAGGTGTGGGCACATATTAAGGGACAGAGGCAGGGAGGGAGTAAAAGGCCACTGTAGAACCTTGAGGCTGAATGCAATGGAGAAGTTAGTGGTTTCTGGGAGGAGCCGGCACTGGGGCTTGAACCCAGGCATCTCGACTCCCAGTTCATTGCTCTTTCCCAGCATCAACCTGTCCATCCACTTGCTGGCAGAGGATAGAAGCATGGGGGCCCAGTAAATTCCTAAAGGCATCCCCTCAACACCACAGGCT